ATGATCATATAAGTCTAATTTAAATCGTAAATTGGATGAGACATCAAATTTCCATCAAGAAGACAATGACTGATTCCCAGCCACTATCAACACATAAATAGTCCTACTCAGAACTTTCCTGGAGATGGCAGCACATTAGCAGCCAAAAACATGGGGGAAAACTAGTTGGTACTTAGTATATAGTTCTAAAAGAAATAATAAAAAATTCTAATAATTAGTAATTAGATTTAGGTTATTTCATAGGTTGTTGGCCATGACAACAAATTGTTTTTGTTTTAAAGTGAAATATTCTGTGTCTTTTAGGCCGAGTTTGAATAAAGAACACAACTAACATTTTCTAAGACATTTGGTTTTTGTTGTCTGCAGTTTTACCTATGAATATCTTACATAAACCAGTGAAAAGACTCATAAAGTAATAATTGCACTGTATTCCAATAAATGTTGTTGATATTTTGATAGGATACTTAATTGACCACACACACAGTTACATTTCATTTTACTATTCACTCTGATATTTTTAGTAAATAAGAAATTCATATGAAAATTATTTATCATAGTTTTATTTTTTCAAACTAGTTTAAGGAAATTTTAACATTCTGGATTCATTAATTTAATGTATGATACATGGCTGATTTTTACTAATTGCTGAAATGTTTCTTACTTTGTAAGGAAGACAGGTGACCAGTTTTGGATTGTGACTCTTAAATTAAATACCACCTTTTGTATTTGTGGATAGTGTGTACAAAACAGGTTTTTTGTTTTTGTTTTTTTTGCTGGCTGAGCATTTTTGTGTTACTGCAAAATGATCAGTTTTATTTCTCAGAACCTGATATTGGTTTGTTTCATTTCTAAGTGTTGTATTACGTGTATTTAAAACATTTTAAAAATGAAAGTTTACAGATCATGCACAATATTTAAATCTGTAATGACATAATGAAGATGAATAGTTAGGTGTTTTTTTAAAACAATATTTCAAATGATAATTAAAATAAAAATTTATCAAATCTGACATTTCCTGTTTTATCACTTTTTTTCTAATGGTTTATTCAAATACAATATAGTGGATTTACATGATGTGATGCTCATATTTCCCACAATTATTTTTGCTAAATTTGTTAATTAAACAACTCTACATTTTGGTTTGTTTAAATTAAATATTTTGTCTGTTTACTTTTGGAAAATCTGCAGTGTTATGTGTTGCCATCAGAATTGACACATTTCTCACATTTATCTGTACCAGACATGTTTTATACTCTTTATTGTTTTAGTTTGTTTCTGATTAAGAAAAAGCTGCTAACAGTTATATAATAGCTATAGTTTCGAAGCTGTTGAATGTAACTGGTGACTTTACTGGTTAGGTAAACTGCTATGGATCTGTCTGCTTCAGTTGAATGTAATCTTCATACGTGTGAACATTTCTTCTCGTTTTCATGCATATAGAGTCTGACTGGTCATACAACTGCAGTTGAATGTAATCTTCATACGTGTGAACATTTCTTTTCGTTTTCATGCATATAGAGTCTGACTGGTCATACAACTGCAGTTGAATGTGTTAAGTTTGGTCAAGTAGAAGACATGGTCTGTGCTGGCTCTGTGGCAGGGACTATGAAGATTTGGAACTTGGAGGAAGCAAAAAGTATGTATCTGTACTTAAGCAATTCAACATGTATACTTAAATATATATATATATATATATATATATCTAAACAGTAAACTTTGCCTTTCATTACCTTCTTCTGTATGTAAGCTAAAGTTATACCTATGAGTGAATATAATAATGAGTAACAAACAGTAAGACTTAATGAGTCTATTTCATTTTGTCTTGACTGACCCTTAATGTTTTTTTACTGTTCTGAATAAGATTTTTCTAATTTATCTATTAGCCGGAGAAAATTTTATTTACTTGTAAGATTTTTTCACTTAATAGCTATAGTTATCCAAGATTACTAGAACATATGACAATGTTGCTGCACAATACACACACACACACATAAAGTCAGACTGGTTTAAAAATATAGAAATGAGATGTAAATCTAGTCTGGTGTTTAGCTTATATGTCAAATTTGTATACTTGTAATAAAAAGTAAATAATTTGGGTCTGAACTGCAGCTAATTAGAAATCAATCTCAACATATTTGTAGCAAATTCTATATTAGTCTGATCTGACTTGCAACTAATTACATTATTGTTTGAGGTACAGCCAGTGAAATATCACCCTTAGTGGATTTAAAATCAACCTGGTATAATGTAGTAAAAACAGCTTTAAAACCAATTTGGTTTGGTTAATAACAAAAGTTAAGTATTCACAGATCAGATTCATTTTTCCACACTCCCAGTAAGTAATTTAAAGTTATAGTTAGAACAAATCTCAAAGTAGTATTATTTAGTAGTGTGTTCAGAGAACAAGTTTTTCCATTGATGCCGTTTAAAAAAAATGTATAATATAGTGTGGCTTGTGTCTGTTTCTCTGTTCGTAATGAAAGTTTTTACACGTTCCTGACCTCTTATCACCATGAAACTTTCAGGGTCTTTTGAGTATGCTCTAGAAAGAACTTAAAGCCTGTTACTTTATTTAGTTTCCTAGTTTTACAAGTTTGATAGTCATTCAATTTTCCCCCTCAATGCCAACAGTTGGTGCACACATGCCATTTAACCATCTCCAGTGAAGTAAGCGTCTCACCTGGTGAAAGTATTTCTGCTCATAAACATAGATATGGATCAAACAGAAATGTTCATGCAGTCATCGCATTTTAATGTATGTTTGTTGTTATAAAGAAAAATTGCTTCTTTTTACTAAAATGTTATATTTAAATAGTGAAAGTGGTTTAACATAAGTTATAAAATTCTTAAGGACATAGCATTAGTATTCACTTTACATTCTTCTAGTAGCAGTTAAGTTAGGACAACAGTTTGTAACATTTTCTCACTTTTTATCCTTTGGATCAGTTCTCAGGACATTAACTGGACACAAATCAAACGTGAAATGTCTGGACTTCCATCCCTTTGGTGAATTTCTTGCCTCTGGTTCATTAGATACCACTTTAAAGGTAAATTTATTAATCATAGACAGTAATGTGAGATGTAAATGCCTTTGTTTTTGTTTGTGTGTAACATGGGTTGATAAGATATTGAAGGTTTGTAAATGAAAACTATTAAGCCTTAAAAGTGATGATTTTTTTTATAAGAAAAAAAAATCATACTTTTAGTATTAATGCATGGTTGTAGAGATATCTGAATTTACCAAAGAAACACCTATCAAGGTCTGAAAAAAGGCACATGTTAAATCTGATGTTATGAAACATTAAAATAAAAAAATTATTAAATACTGACAATATTTAACTAAATCAAAACCAAAAAGACAATGTGAGACCAAATAAGTAGGCAATGATAAACTGGCCTAATATAAAATAAAGAATAGAAAGGTAACAATAGAGTAAAAAACAAACAGAAAAAGAGAGCAAATAAGAACTTGGGTACATCTAAGGTTTTTGAAGAATTTTGAACAAATATTTCCTCCTTTAATTTCTTTTGTCAGTTTTTTTCTTATTTAAGTATTTCTCTGGCGAAATATATTTCTACTTCATATCCTTAATACTATAAGCATATGATTTTACTGACAGATCAATAAGCATATTGTTTTGGATGTTTTTTAAAAATTATTGTCTGTATATATGTAATTTTGTGTATAAACAAATGAGAAATATCTATAGTATGTTTTAATGTTATCAATAATTTATATTTTATCAAGTATATTGCTAAGGCAATTTAGGTTGAAAATGGTGACTTCTTTTTTTTATACTGTTACTGGACTATTTGAACAGGTCAAATAGGTTTATAGTCGGATTAGTTTTTGAGATTGAAAATAGGCAGAAAAATAAAACAAAGATTTCTATTTATATCTTTGTATTGTGAAAGAAAACAATTTATCCAATTTCGGAAACAAATCTTGTTTTTTAGATGTATTTTACACAAATTAAATTATAAGATCTTTATTGGTTTAGGTTTTTAACTTGTAAAACTTTGTTAGGAAGAGAATTCTTTTATTTCCTTGCATTGAACTTTATACTATGATGTGAATGTGTGATATTATGAAACTGAAGTTTTAAAAAAGGCTGAAAGAGAAACTTTTGTATTATGCTGTTTTAATAGCTGTGGGACATCAGAAGAAAAGGTTGTATCTACACATACAAGGTAAGCCTAGATGGAAGAAATGATTTCAACATAATGTTTTGGAATAACATGGGACCTAGCAGTCCACGCTGGCTGTTCCATCCTTAAACTAAGTTAAAATAATTAAAAAAAAAATCTTAAAGTCAGCCCTTATCATTCATATACTTATCAAGCTTTTTCTTAAACTCACTTAAATTTACTGCCTTTACAACATCCAAAGGCAACCCATTCCAAAAGCCAACCACTCTGTTAGAAAAATGAAACTGTCTTAGGTGAAGATGACTTCTACCTTGCCAAAAGTTATATTTTTGTCCTACTATTCTCACTGTTAAATATGAAAAAAGATGATACATCAACGCTATCAATCCTTTTTACAATCTTAAACACCTCAATCAGACTCTAACTCCCCCTAACTCTTCTTTTTTCAAGAGAAAACAATTTGAGAGATTTCAGTCTCTCCTTGTATGACAACCACTCCATCCCAGGCACCATTCTACTAACCCTTCTCTGAACCCTTTTCAACAATTCAATGTCTTTCCTAAGGCAAGGAGCCTAAGACTGAACACAATATTCCAAATGTGGCCTAACCAGTGACCTGTACAATGAAATTATAACCTCTTTAGACTTGTAATCGCTATTTCTGTAGATACAATTTGCCCTACCACTAGCAACAGCACACTGATCGACTATTACACCAAGATCCCTTTCCTTCATAACACTATTATTCCCATTGAAACCCATCTGCCATTTATTTGCCTAACTCACTAAGTTATTTAAATCCTTTTGTAAATCAGCACCATCTTAACAGCTATCAACACCCATAACTTTAATATCATCTGCAAATTTAAGTAATTTATTGACTATTCCTTCATCTATGTCGTTGATGTAAATCAAAAAGAGCAAAGGTCCTAAGACTGAGCCCTGAGGTACCTTCTTGTAACATTAATTCAGTTTGACAGAATTCCATTTGTAACAACCCTCTGCTTTCTTCCATCCAGACACTCTTCTATCCAGTTTGCTAACTTATTCCCCACACCTATAGAGATAATTATTTTACAAGCCTTTTATGTGGCACCTTATCATATGCTTTCTGAAAATCCAGATACACCAAATCTACACCCTTACCCTCATCTACATAAGCAGTAACCTTTTCAAAGATTGTCAAAAGGTTTGTAAGGCAAGATCTTTCCTTAGTGATACCATGTTGACTATCCAATAAAATTCTAAACTTTGTTAAATGTCTTTGCAAAGCATCTTTTAACAGACTTTCCAAAACTTTTCCCACAACTGATGTAAGACTAATGGATCTATAATTACTGGGATAATTTTTATCACCTCCCTTGAAAAAAAGGAGTTACATTAGCTAACTTCCAATACTCTGGTACCTGCCCACTATTCCAGGACTGACAAAAAATAGCAGTAAGTGGCTCACATATCCAATCTTTAACCTCCTTCAAAACCCTTGGGGAAATATATCTGGTGTAGGTGCCTTATCATTTTTTAAACTTCCCAATTTTTTTCTTAACCATCATAATTAATGCAGTCATCTTGATTGATCTCGTTTCCATTTATCAACTGTTCAAGATGTGGAATACTGCTTAAATCTTCATTAGTAAAAACTGAAAAAAAAAAGCAAAATTTAATAACCCAGTCATCTCATAATCATCAAATACAAGCCTCCCTTTATAATCCTTCAAGTGTCCTACCTCCATCCTAACATTTTGTTTACTCTTAATGTAGTTAAAGAAATCCTTACTGTTTTTACATTTCAGCCAACCTTTTCTCATACATGCTTTTTGATATCCTAATTTCCTGTTTCACCAACTTTCTTGATGTTCTATAATCTTCTAAATCTCCTGTCTCAGATTTCAGTTCCCTTTCATTGCTTTATATATTTATACTAGTGTAGTTTCTCTCTCAACTTTAAGATGTCTCTTAAAGTGTTGTTTTGATTACATCTGGGTTTCTTATCAAGCTGTAATCAGTTACTTTTCATTTTATAGCCATTACTAAGATATCATCTTTACACCTTAACTAGGAAATTTTTTATTCAAAAATTGTAGAAAGTTTTGTTTTGTTACTGTTAATTTTTTTATGTAGTATATATATATATATATATATATATATATATATATGTAGTACTTAATTGGTGGTATTATAATATTGTTAGTTTTGGTTAGTTGTTAGTTTAGTTTTAGTAAAAGTACTTAGAGTATGTATATATTCTTA